GTTTCAGATAGTAGACACGATGGCCGCGTGTATTATATGCCGATGTGATCACGAGTAATCGGAATTCGCGACCTGGAAAGCGGAGTATTAAACGCGATCTTCCGATTGAGACAAGAGAAACTCGCAATTTATTTTCACGATTTGGCGACTTATTCTCACGAGTCACGTGCATCTCGTGATGCTTCATTCTCATCCTATTATTTATATCTTTACTTTACGATATTGCTTAAAAAACGTATTTTTCACCGAAGCGTTTATTGCAATATTATTGCAATATAATCGTAAAAACAAAGCAAATAGTTACATTTATAATTTTAGCTTATAGGACTATATATCATAATTATAGTGCATTTATAATATTTTACTTATATAAATTGTTGATGTATATATATAATATATACGTTTGATTACAAAGATAAGAAATCTACTTGCTGTAAATATCTGATGCTTGTACTAATAATCGGATTTATTTTAGCTTCTCTTATTAGAGCGGTTCACACTGATCGAAAAATATTTCTCATCGTATCAAGAGGATCTTGGCGCGGACATTTTCTTTGGTTATCTAGCTGTATGAGTTTTATTCGACATCATAAAGCTAGGTTACCGGAGTTAAGCTCCTCGCCATATCAACTCCAGCGATCTTCCCCTTCTCTACGCTTCAGCGAAAATAAAGAACCGAGACGCCGAATACTGTTACACCTGACATGTCCTGGCCATCGTCGCGTCATCAACTTATTGAATAACAAAGACACAGACGAGAGAAAAAACTGTAAAGTCATGATAACGGCTGAACGACCGAATATCTTTGACAACAAATTGCGGCTCGACGTGTCTTTATCACGTAGATACAATTATTCGCCTCACGCTCGCGATATCGAGCGCTCAATCGAAGCACTCGATATTGTAAATTGCAATGTTTGATCATTGGAACAGTTGAGATTTAATTGTAAAAATGTGTCGCATATTTTTCTAACATATGTTACAGCATATCGCGTCGTAACACGATCGTCGTTACGTTAATTCGTTGCAAACGTCCTATGGAGAGTGATTTGGTTACAATGAGGATATTTATTATTATATGTTTATGCGAACGATTTAAATGTCACGTTGCGAATAAAACAGCGAATTCCAGAAACGTTCTCTCTTCCCGTCCATATTTTTCGAACAAGAGGACTTTCGGCATTGTCGTGGCCGACATCGAACCATGCGTGCGAATCATTGGGTCCTTACAATGGACCGAGTGTTCGATATGAGGAAGCGAACAGACGCGAATCCATAAAGAGGTAAGCGACATTCGTCGGCTGATACTCGCGACCGTCAACGTATGAAAAAAAGACGAATGCGTCGTCAGCTCTGCCTGCAGCTCTCTGTATTCCCTTCGCGCGTAAAACTACGAGCTGGGCATTTGTAATTGCCGTTAGTGTCGTTGACTCGTGACTGGCCTGTCGAGGGGACTTTTCAGAAGCGCGTGCGTATCGATATTCCCGCGCATTATTTCGCGGCTACGTGGCCGCGTAGACGGAAATAACTCGCACCGCCGCGCCGTTTCGATAGTCGCTTTGTTATTTGGGGAAAGTTACATCGTTGATTTCGCCGTCACGTCGCGATTTAGGACGACCCGTGGGAGAACTCCACAAAAGCTGGCGTATGTTAACATTCTCGGCGCGATCTCGTCGACTTGAAATAATAGTCATGCAGCTGTAGTTATATAGAATTAGATATAACATTTTTCCCGATCGTTGTATGTTCACCGATTGCTAAAAATATGTCGTCATTGTAATATATTGTTGTCATTGTCGTTATATTGTAATTACAATTTTTTCTTCTACGATATTCCTACGGTAAATTGCTGATTCCACATTCTTCTGGCAAAAATGCAAAAGTTTGTAAACGCCGTAAGTCCGATACATTAACGCATCGAAGGTATAACTCGAGAACGAAACGAGTTGTTTCATTAAACACACGCTGTGCCTATGAAACGTTACATTTTAAGTGTGTGCCGACACGGTACGTGACGACGATGGTTCCCACAATAAAGGAGCCGGGATATGTTTACCAATTATACATATGTATATGCGACCACAGGAACGAACACGTCCGGCGTGATATTACAGGAGAAATTCCTGGCTTCGTTTAAATTTGTATGTAGAAATTGAAACGATAAATAAAAATCTCCCCCGACATTTTTTATCAATGTTACGCGATGTTAGAAAGAAATCTATCTCTTTTTCATGTAAAATGGATTTCTAGAGACAAGTATGTAATTACGATAATGATTACTTGTGTTTCTAGACAAATTTGTTTAAGCAGATTTGCAACGCATTTAGATAATAAATAAGTATGTGCGCTTTTATTTTGAGTTTAGAGAATTAGAAGTTGATAAAGCAATATATAAATGTTAAAGTAACAAATAAATATTACGGTAAAATTAATTATAATAAAAATAAAATAATTATACATCTCTGTGAATGTCTATACAGTATCGATTGATAAATTTTACTAATTTATAGTTGTTTTATGCCGCAATTGAAATATTTTATGATATTTCCATGATTTCCAAGGTCGAATTTGAAAAATGTATCTTGATTGAATTAATAAATATTAATAAGTATTACTAATTACACTCTAAAGAATAATATTACATCTTTTATGCAATATACAAATATACAAATACATATTTAAAGATGGGCAATTTTTTATCTTTCACTCTATTAACGACATTTTTTAATTTTTTCCCCAAAGAAAGGAGTCATATTACATACAATGCTATACGAAACTTTTTGATTACCTTTGACATCCTGATTTCTCTCTTTTTTTCTCTCTCTTGATCTGCAGTTATTTTTTTCATTATATATGTAGACTATTGTATGTAAATATTATATGTAGACGGAAAATTTTTTCAATTTTATCGCCCACGAGGTAACGAGATTTTGCAATATTTAAAGAATGCAATATTATTAGCATAAATCCACCCTTTTCCATTACATATGAGATGAAAATTTTGTCACGATTCGTTTGATTGTTTGTTGTAGAAACTCTAATAAAAATCTAGACATAAGAGCGATTTAGTCAAAATGTGTATATTTGTATGAGAGAGAGAAAGATATATTCACTATTTCTCACTTTAATCTATTCTTTTCTGATACGTTCACGCGCGTTATAGACAGTTTACGCTGTTTTAAATAATAAAAGGTTAGAAGTGAAGAATTACAACATATGAAACATTGTGAAAATGGATTAATATGCAGCACTATTGTATAATTATACAATTTATACTACTGGAACAAATATTTCGTTATTATAGTATTCTTTTAATGATATGCAAACCATTAGTTATCATTATTTCTAAATGCAAAACTTGTAAAAGTAAATGCTGAATATATTTTACAACGTCATGATTTATATTCCAAAGTTTGTAAGACCATTGAAAGAGAGAGAGAGAGAGAGAGAGAGAGAGAGAGAGAGAGAGAGAGAGAGAGAGAGAGAGAGAGGGGGAGAGAGAGAGAGAGGGGGAGAGAGAGAGAGAGAGAGAGAGAGAGAGAGAGAGAGAGAGCGTTTCGATTAAAATTTTATAATAATTATAATAAAAATATTTACTATTGTGTACAATTAATATAGCAAATCAATGGGAATGTATGTTGCATTTCAATAATATTTATTATTTTATTATAATACTAATAATACTTTAATAAACTTTTCCTCCCCTTTATTTTACTTTCTCTTAAAAAAATATTACTGGCTGTAATACATTAGTCAGTGATAAATTATTTTTCAGTACTGGTATGAATAATACAATTATTGAGCAACAATAATTTACCAACCGCCACTTTATTATTATACCTAGTAATACTTTTTTATAAAAATTATATACATTTTCTTTTATCGTTTATATTCAACTAAACAAACATTAATCATGAGGAATTTTTTATATTTATTATTTATTTTTTATATTTATTTTTTATATTTATAATATATATTATTAGATATTTCTACATATATATAGGGTGTCCCACGGGAAGTTGCTGAAACTAAACGATTGGTTCTCCCCTCCATGACTTTAGAACAGGTCTTAAAGATAATGGTCGTCTGCCTGAGGGTCTGCAATTTTATTATTGGTTGTAGTAGAAGCAAGTCTGTGCGCGTCAAAATGAATAATTTAACAACAAAAGAAATATATATTAAAATAAGAAGTTTTTACGAATTTTCATAAAAGAGTTGAATTTTGTACAAATTCAGATGATGCGAAAATGTTTATCACTAAGTTATTTGATCATTAGCATATTTTTCATCGTTTTTTATTAACAAAATAAACTGATGCACTAATTATTTATTAATTAAAAAAAATTTTTTTATATTCATTGAAAAACTTTGCTCTTTTCGACACAGTTTTTGTTTTTACAATAGAGAGTTTTTATAATATTGTCTCTCAGATACGGTAAACGGTTGATCGTAAATGTCATTGATCGCATAGCTACGTTATTTCTAAGCGAATAACGTTTACGATTTACATTACTGTATCCAAGAGACGGTATTGCAAAAACTCCCTAATAACTGAATACATTTAAAAATGACAGCTGATTAGTTTCAGTAACTTTTCATAGGACACCCTGTATACACACACACACACACACACACACACAAAGAACAGGCATTATATTTGATTCTTTTGCAACTTCCATTTTTTATTTGTATTAAGTTTGTCGTATTACTTGCATTTTTAACACTTTTATATTTATATCAATGCCCGTTTCACACCGCCAGACACGATGAACAATATCTAATGAGAATTCTTCTTTTTAAAGAAAGGCCAGTATGCAACGAGCATGAAGTATAAAAATATCTAAAGTGCAAGCAGAACAGACGCAAATAGAATTATTGCTGACATATAACATTTATGTCTATGGTAAGATTAGTGTGATTCACATATGAGCGGGAGTTGGCAAAAATTGCCGGACCAATCAGAATTGGCACTCTTATGTCCAGGCTTCTATTAGAAGGTCTCTAGTTTACCAAACGCCATCTAGCCGATGTTAAGATGAGTGAAGGAGAACAGTAAGCTCTCGTTACGAATGAAATCAGTTGGAGGTTATCTCGTGGTTGCTGGTAAGGGAAAATCTTATGATGGCAAGCCAGGTTTGGAAGGTTAGTATCGCGAACATGTCTTGAGGAAACAGACATAAATTATCGCATATTACAATGATATCGCATCAAACGTTGCTACGACCGCATTTGTTTAACATGTCTCATTCCTGACAGACAATGATGTAATTTTTGCAGGTAGTTAAGCCGCATATACCGATGATTAAGTTTCGCAAGGGCAGCCGTGATTTAGGTAACGTATATTGATACGACTGAAGTGCGAACATCGTGCGTTTCTGTTAAAAAAAATTTGTATTTTTGTACTAAAATCAGTATTATTGGTTAATAGTTGCGGGTGCGACATCCACTCCATCTACGCTATCAGGCTCGAGTCCAATGCAGCGAGGTACAGGCGGTGCCGCAACGGGTCCCGGAGTAACCGTCCTGCCAACGATAGAAGATATTTACCTGCCACCAAGATATCAGAGACGGCCGTTAGGCGACAAAGAAATCGAATATATTAATGTAAGCTATAATTAGTTCTATAACAAGAATTTTAGTATAGGTTTTACTTTCGACAATATTTATTAATCTGTTTCTTAATAATAAATACATATATGTATATGTATTCAAAAAAGTTTAAACATATATATGCTATATATATTTAATGCCGTGTACTTATTTGTTTATATGTTACAGCGTGGTGGACCAGAATGAGTTTGTAGTACATTAAATATATTTAAAATATTCTAAATCCTAAGTGCTTAACATTGTTATTTATTTGATGCAATATACTGTTTAAATAAATTATTCTAACAGAGAGACTCTGTGCTGCAAATATTATTTCATATTTATACTAGATGTCTATCGGGCAAGGTCTACCCTGACATTGCCAGGGCCTGCTATTTCTGGCACAACTCTTAGCTCATTCCTGCAATGTGAGTTAATCCTAGGTCTATACGCGCGCGCGCGATAACGAGTCTGATCAAATAGTTTATAATACAAATTGTCAAACTTGTATTTCTTTTATAGCTAAAGAAAACAAAGAAAAACTTATGTGTTTTGTTGCGATTATATTATTGCAATAATTTGAAATAGTTGCTCTAAGTCTAAAATAAATCGCTATTCTCGATAGTCTTTGATTTATGACAGAACAGTAATGGCAATAGAAGTGTGTATTGAATGAAATAAAATTCTCTATATTAATTTGGCACAATATTCAAAATCATACAATGTAATAAACACAATTTTTATGCAAAATTTATTTTTAATTTCTCTTTCTCTTAATAAATTTTAAATATCATTGATAATAATTCTTTCTGTAAATATAGATATATATTTAGACATATTTGAAACTCAAAATATTTATTTTTGAGCTTTTTATATATTTATATAGTATATTGTTATGGTATAATTTTATGTACTTTTATTTAAAATCTAGTATTTTATTTTATTTCCATAATTTTAAATAAAATAAAATTTAAGGTAACTTCCTTCAATAGTACGGCACTGTGATATGACAAAAATAGCAGACGACAGTGCGCTGCGAAGGCTGCTTTCATCTCATCTCTTTGTCGTGAGGTTCCTGAATGTAAGTGCGGAGGAGAGGTCTCGCGATTATAGTTCATAGTTTTATCCGAAACTTTCGAAGCTCGAAACACTTACGAACGAAAATGGCTGAAATAACAGACTTTGGGCCGAAGAAGACAATTTTTATACTCGCGATTGTGGCTGGCTGCTTTGCGATATTATGGCCGAAAATTTTCTACCCTATGCTTACAGCATCTGTCACTTCACATCATCATACGGACAACTCCGGTAAGATTTCAATAATAACCCACGTGCTAGGTTATATATTAATGATATTAAAAATTCGTCTGGATGTAATTTATTATGATATGATTTTAGATATTTGAATATTATTAGAGTGTATATGCGTATGTGTGTGTGTGTGTGTATGTATGTATGTATATGTGCATACACACACACACACACACACACACATGTATATATATATATATACAAGTGAAAATTTATATATAATTCTTTACAAAATGTGTTTATCATGTTATTCAAGTCTTAAGTTAAATTTGAATTAAGAGATTTAGGTGATTTTATTAGATCAAGATGATTTTTTCTTATCATTCATATTTATGTAGCATGCTGTGAAGTGATATTTGAAAGTGATGTCACTACAGTGGATATTATGCAAGAAATGTGTCAAAATATATTGAGGCATCATCCAGTTGATCCACGCATTAGAGACGCATTAAAACACAGCAAATTGTCTCCTCAAACCTCCAGCTTGTGCAGAGAAGAAGTTCTAGCCCGATGTGGCATAGATTTATCATCCTTTCTAGCTGAGAGGGAACGTTTGGGGAAAACCTATAAACAAGTACTAGAAGAAATTAGATCATTCAATGGTTCCCTCTGTCTCAAGATGAATTTTGGTATACCACTATCACAGTTAGGGACACCTCATCTTATCAGATATCATATCTTGATGCCACACAGTAAGAATTGCAAGGATATATGAATTGATCGTCATTTGATATTAACAGAATCTTATTATACTATTCTAGTATGGAATTAAAATAATAATTAATTCTGTTTGTGTGGTATATAATATTTTTAAAACGTGTGAGTTCATAATTTTGCCATTCTAACTCAAATTAATATACTAATTTAATCAGCAATTTGTACACAACAATTATATAGTTTATGCCTTATATAATAAGGTAAACTTGAAGAAATATGATGTATCATTATGTACATCATGTATATAACCAAAGCAGATTCATGTTGTCTATCTTGCTTTGGCTGAATACCAAAAAATCAAGCGTCATGTTTGGCAGACAAGACCTGACTTATAGTTAGCTTTGAATACAATCATACTTGTGACCCGTTACTTTTTATTCAGATTTTTATAGATATAGATCAAGACTTTGTAAAGATTATTATAGTGGTGGATAGTTTTATATTTTAATAAATCATAACAAAGTCGATATTGAAAAAATTAATTCACTTATCTCAAATATGTTGGTGTAGATTGAGTTTTCTTAAACTGTTAAATCAAAGTATATTTTATAAATAAACTATTAATATTTATATATGCACAGATACGATACGACAAGAGCGTCGTACTCCTCCTCACGCAGGCGAAATGCATCCTGCAATGAGAGAACGGGGAAGAGCCATACCATCCTCCCACATTGTACCGAGGATAGTGGACAGATCTGATCACGTCATGCCAAAGATGAGGCCTCCTCTCGGCGGCGCTGCTCATGTTGTCCCAACTCCAAAGGGAAACAGTACAACGGGAATGTTAATGCCGCTTTATACAATAGCAATAGTTGTGTTCTTCTTGTACACCATCGCAAAGGTGACATATAAACTCAGATAATAATTCGAAGTGAACATGACTAATTTACAACTTATATTGGCAGGTGTTCAAAAAGAATTCTGACAACGAAATCATTTCGGAATATCCAGGAGCAGAAGCTGAAAAGGAATTTCGCAAAATGGTGTTTAATCCGGAAATTTTGGCGACTGCAATGACTGGAGGTACACTGCATTATCAGAGAGAAATGTCAGCTGCACCCACCATAGAGGAATTAAAGGATCGTAAGTACTGTCGCAATCTTTTCGATATCATAAATCATGTTTCATTTACATTATCATCAACGCAACGTCTGTTCTAAGAGAAACTATTTCCTTTAGAGAAATATATTTAGTATTAAAATACTTATATACAAATATATATGTCTTAAGTATTTAAACGGATCTTTAAATGGTGTTGCATGATGCAAGGTTTGCACAATTAGAACACACACGTATTTATACACGCGAGTATACTTGCAAGATTCTGATTAAAAAAAAAAAAGAAAATGAGCATATTGTAAGTACTCGTACTTATACTCTGAACACGTTTGGTGATGTTCTACATGCTGGAACACAAGAAGCAGCAGGAGACATAGAGATAGATCAACTGAGACAACGATTGGTCGAGACGGAAGCAGCCATGGAAAGAATTGTTGTCCAGATGGGCAACATATCACGTTCAGTAATGCATAACTCGGCCTCACAGCCAGAAATCAAGGTTTACCAGATTAGTTTTTGAAGCAATTCGCAGTTTCAGTTTATTAGTCGTTAGAAATGTGCACGTTGCTGTGTTCTGATTGCGTTACAAGCTTTACCCATCCAATGTACATTAAACATGTTGTACATTTATTATAAAATTTTATCTTCAATATTTCGCTTTTCTCGAATACCGATGCTTGCGGATAACCGTTGCGTAATTACAAATTATTGGTTTATTGTATACTTTTATTAGTTTATACTTTTATTGCGATGTATATGAAATTCGTATTCACTCGTTAATCGAATGCGACATTGAGTACGAATACATAAGTCGGAATATGTTATTCAGTACCAGAATTCACTTTATATATTTTACGTTTTGAGTAGTAGATGGGGGTCCAAAGTCCAATGGTCTGGCAGGGGTCGATCGCGGTTCTAAGGTACATGCCCTTGCCTCCGAGAATATTCCTAACAAGAGTAACCAAGAGTTTGTGAGACACTTGTTGTGTTTCTTTGGTGCACTAGTTTTACGAGTAATAAATTTATCACACAAAAATGTTTATTGGGCTTGACAGTTTCATTGGTACGATTCTGTAATAACAATTTAGGTCCCCTAAATGCAAAAATGCTATTATTTTTTTTTCTATAAATAAAGATACGATTTGCCGATGCTAAATATTACTCGAGTATAAATTAACAAAGTGGTAGTTATTCTTTCTATAACTTCTTAATTATAAGTGTTAATTGTATGTTTTGCATGATGCTTGCTTATTTTATATCTTATTGATGTGACATATTATAAGATAATTAATAATACGTAGGTCCCTCCCTACGATCCTATGGTTTCAAATGATTTAAATAATTTTTTTTCTTTTTTAGTAGTTACAGAATATCTTTAATATAATATATTCTCTTTAAATATTATATAGTTTCTGTTATATTAAAAATAATGTTTAAAAAACAATTACAAAATGATTCCTGTCAGATCAGCGAAATAGTTTTAAAGTTATTACATAATGTGTTATTACATATTCCCGGCATAGGAGATATGTAAATACAATTGAATGAAAATAATAATAATGGGACAATGTTAAATAACATTTAATTTGCAGGAGGACACTGCAGACCAGGAGTTACATAGTAGAGAAAGTGAAGAATTAGATGCAGTAGAACAATCACCGACTGTTAAAGTCATGGGTATGGAAATGACAGCAAGTTGCGAAAGTGGACAGAAATGTAGCAGACCTACCACTCCCATAATTCCTACACCACCCAGCAGGTACTATATTGAACATTCCTTCTTTTTATTACTGTATTTATTTTATTATTCGCATCTTTTATGGTCTTATTGTAATGTGGATATATTGTGTTTTCTATATTAGTAATGTCGAGAGAGAAAAAACGCCACCAAAACCCATATATCTAGAGGGTGCACTTCCGCCACAATGCGAATTACTTGTGACCGACTCAGAAACGCAAGCAGAAAAATCAGAAGACGATGACGATGCTCCCGTTGTTCTTTCTGGCAAAATGACTCTCTCCCTCATCAGCCTCGACCAGATCGCAGCTGTAAGGAAATATTAGAATTACCAACAGAATCAAATGAATCTGCGGAGCCTTGTTTTATTTGGTGATTCTTTCATTCATTTAATTGTTTGCCTAACTTCTCTATAGGTTACTTAATATAGAGATCACAAATCACAGGAACTAAATGCAGTGCAAAGAATGGTTTCTTGGCTATTACATGTATGGGTATGAGTAATGTGCTGATTTTATTTATTATTTCTATTCCTATTATTCTCTGTGATTTGTTCTAGATATTAATGACTTAATTTTTTATTATGTGCCTTCGTACATCCTATGTTTTACTAATATCTTAATTTTAACATAGAATATACTGTGGTTTGTTTTAAGTCTCAGCGACAATGTTGTGTTTCGTTTAAAAAAGAGACGACCTGTTAGTACCTTATAATTATTTACTATGTTGTTTTATATGTCCTCGCGCGTATATGTACAGATTTTATTATATCTGACCAAACTGTAAATTTATATTTTGATTTTATTTTTATTATTATTTCGACGATAGATTTATGAATTTTTTGTACACATGATGCTAACGATATGTTATGCAAATTGCTCTTTGCAAGAAACAACACTACCATATTAATTCAAACTACACTATTAACACATTAACTACTACAACTATACAATGATATACATTTTGATCATATATTTAATTACACACATTGTTACAATGCCATGTTTGTGGCATATATTGATGTTAAAATGTCATTTAATGAACATCTTATTATATAATCTTTTTATACCTCATATATTGGATTTTTATCATTTATTTATTATTTACATTACATTTGTATAAAGAATTGTATTTAACATGTAGGAATCAGAGGATGAAACTCGAGATACAAAGGAGGTAGAAGGCATGGATGGTAAGAAAAGAGAAACAATTTTGGACATCCAAGGAAAAGTTAAAGATATGGCTGATGAAGAAAAGATAATTCAGAAACAGGCAAAGAAGATTAAAGTAGAGATGGAAGATGAAGAAACTGAGAAAGAGGTTGAAGAAATTGTTGAAAAAGTGGAGGATATACAAAATAACGTGAACTTTATGAGGGATTATAAACAATTTGAAGTGAAACAAAAGGAAGAAATAAAAGTGAAAAAGGAAAATGATATGAAAGATGGTAATAAAAAGATAGAAATGGAAGAGGAATACGAAGAGGAAGAAGAAGAGGAGGAGGAGGAGGAGGAGGAGGTGGAGGAAGAAGAGGAGGAGGAGGAGGTGGAGGAAGAAGAGGAGGAGGAGGAGGAGGAAGAGGAAGAAGAAGAGGAAGAAGAGGAGGAGGAGGAAGAGGAGGAGGAGGAGGAGGAAGAATATGAAGAAAAGGAACTACAAGAAGAAGAAATAGAAACAGAGGAAGAAGAACAAAAACATAAAATTACAGCAGAGGTGAAACATGAACAAATAGATATAAAGAAACAAGAAGAAAAAGAAGAAGAAGAGGAGGATGAGATAGGGGAGGAAGAGGAGGATGAGGAAGAAGAAAGACAGCAGGAAGAGGAGGACGACGACGAGATGGAGGAGGAAGAAAAGCACCAAGGAGGAAAAGCCATGGAACATCAGCAACTCAGTCATATGAAAAATGATAAAACTTGTGAAAATAAAAAGAAATATATGGAAGATTCTGATCAGGATTTAGAACAATCAGAAGGTGAGGGCACCGAAGACGATAAAATGGAAGACGACGATATGGATGCTGATGAAGAAGATGAAGAGCATGAGGAAAGCGATGCAAAAGAATCTGGAATACTTTCCAGCGAACGCGTTACTCGCAAGAAAAGAGATTAGAGCAATTCTGTTTTTCTGGCAATGAATCAGTGTTTACCAATCTTTAAAAAATCTCTACATTATAATGTAAAGAAAACAAAATCACAATGATTATGGAAAAGCTGGCATACCCGCAACATGAAAATGTATAAACTTGTTTAAGCACTGCCAAATATTTAAAATGCTATGTGCATCACATTTTCGTTTTATTACTCGTTATATTCGATATGTGATAGAATCACAAATTTATTAATTATACAGGGGCCAAAAGAAAGAGGCAGTGCTTCATACATTTGTGCCATATTACAATATCAGAACAGCTTAGATTCTTGGATCTATATATAGATGTTACTCTGTCTAGCCAGAAAGCCATTTATGAAATGTTTTTTAGGATTTGATAGATAAAACAATTATTAATAAGAGACAAGTCTTTCTCTGATCATTACGTAGCGTAATGATATAGATAAATATAAAATTCGGTGATTGGCAAGCACTGATACAATTTACATGTTAAAGCCAAAGACCAGATCTAGTCATTTTTTCCTATTTCGAGTAAAGTTAGTTCATAAATCTTTTGCTTCGTATACTAATTATCATTTTTATTCGAACATTTAATTTTATATCAGACTTAGCATTTGACTCTGTATTTCTAGTTCTTATGTTGATTTTATCAATGAACGCTTCTCGACATATATATTTAATGTGGAAAATAGGATGCTTTATCATTTCGACATTTGATTTTGGTTTGTACTTAAACATGTGAACATAAAATATATTCATTTAATAGTACTTTAAAATTTTTTTTTATTAATAATAACGATCCATTATATAACTCTGACATAGAGCAAAAGTATAGTTGAAGGTAATTGGCCTGTAAACCCATTTTCTTAAAAAATTTGAAAATTTTAATAGTATATTAATGTAAAAATAATCTACATCTATGTGCAATTAGAAAAAGATTGACCGTATCAAAGTTAATGGAAATTAAAGTTAATATAACATTGCGCGGTGCGGTAACGATGGTCTGACGACGCTCACCGGCCCAGGGTTCGATACGTTTGCAAGGCCGGAAAGAGTATATGAGAGCGAAAAGGAGTAACGACAAATGTCGGTCTGTGTTTTATTTTTTTTATTCAGTTATTTTCTATTATATTAGCAATGGTCTATTTACAGTATATTTACAATATATATACACGTGTCCGAGGAGCTCGGTATCTAATGATCAGCAATCTTTGGCTATACGGTGGAGAAGTTCTATTCTAAGCGAGAATCGCTTTACCATTGCTAAGCAGACAAAGCTATCCTGTAAATTGGGGATGCGGAGGCCGCATTATCACAATGGAGATGGTCTGAGCCTTTATTCTTGAAAATTTATAAAAAAATATCGTATATAAGATATTTCATCATTGGGGCAATTTAATTGGCTGTTTTGTAGTATAGGAAAGTGGAGGCTGAAAAGTGGCCAATCAATTTGGTTTTCAAAGGTCTCTCTTGTGGTCTTCTGGGTCATCCTCCATGGTTGTGTGTCATCTTCAGAGTCTGGTGAGCAATTGGATGCTTGTACTATCAAGCTTCTAGCTTTTATATCCAGTCGTCGGGGTTTATCGGCTATTCTTATCTTGTTGGCGACAGGGTTCAGAGTTCAATGTACTCATATCTATCACTAGACACAAAAGCTGTCATATGATTGATTAGGTCATTCTGAACAAAAAAGTCCTGTGCCATTTTGCAAATAAGTACGCAAATGTTTAAATTATCAATTAAAAGAGCTTCTACAAGAGTCATTCAATAAGTAAAGTAAAAAAGCAATAAAACCACCTATTTTCCAAAATAGACTCTTCATACGAAAAATTCACATTTCGACGTAGTCTCCTTGGAGTTCTACACACTTGGTCCAGCGGTGTCCCAATTTTTTAATCCCTTCGGAAAACCAAGAAGTTTCGAGATTTTCAAAATACGCATCCACAGCAGCGATGACCTCTTTATTGGATGAAAATGTCTCTCCCGCGAGCCAGATCTTGAAGTTTGGGAATAAGAAGTCATTAGGGGCCAAATCTGGAGAAATGGGTGAATGGGGCAGCAATTTGAACCCTAATTCGTGCACTTTTGCCATTACAACTGTGGAGTTGTAACCCGGAATATTGTAATGATCAAAGATGACTTTTTCGCGCGCCAATCTCGGCCGTTTCGTTCGCAGCTTTTCATACAAACAATCCAGAAGTGTAGAATAATATCCGCTTCTTATGACTGTTTGACTTGTCTCTAAGTAGTCAATGAAGATGATTCCTTGGGAATCCCAAAAAACAGTGGCAGTTACCTTCCCGGCCAATAAAACAGTCTTCGCCTTCTTTGGCGCACATTCACAAGGCTGTTTTGACTCGGGTGTGTAGTGGATCGAAATCACATCAACGGTCACGAATCGATGCCGAAAGTCTTGTTGATTGTGCTTAAGCATTGACAAACACTGTTGACAAATGACTTTTCGCGTGCGTTTTTGGTTGGTGGTCAGCAATCGCGGCACCCATCGTGTACATAGCTTTCTCATTTTTAATTTTACGTGCAGGATATTATGCACCCTATCTACTGAGATACCTACAATCTCAGCTATGTCACGCACTCTTATTCGGCGATTTTTTACGACGATACGATAGATTTGTTCAATCATTTTTGGCGTAGTGACTTCAACTGGACGTCCGGGGCGCCTTTCATCTTTAGTTGATGTCTGGTCACGTTCGAATTGATTAATCCAAAAATAAACGGTCTCCAACGCTGGTGCAGAATCCCCATGAACTTCGTTCAACTCGGCTTTGATCTGTGCAACCGTCCATTTCTTTAAATAGAAATGTTTAATCACTGCACGAAATTCGTCTTTTTCTATTTTTAGAACTACTGCCATAATAATTACGTTTAAACGGCAAGAACAACCGTATTAGTAACAACCGTAGTCAGTGAATTCTTTGATTCGATTGGTATATTCTTTTAGATCTAAAAATATACTCTAATCGGATTCGAGACTGTACTAACTACGGTAGTTACTAAGTCGAAGTTAGAAGCCGTGTAAACGTAGTCACTCAATTCGAACATCAGCCACACGTAAACTACGGTCAGTATTTATAGTCAGATCTTATATTTAAGATCGTCTTAAGTTCACTCTCAAATAGCCCGTAGCCAATAAAATAATTTGTACAGCATCTGAAGATGAACTTAAGACGGTTTTAAATATAAGATCCGACTATGAATATCGGCCTAAGCATCGCTTTTGGCTGAAACTTGGTATGAGGCAGTTGAAAGAGTTACTTCCTGGCCATATACTACATAGTTCATAGTGGCGCCATCTCGTGGAAATTTACCTTACTTATCAAACGACTCTCTTAGATGTGGTCATTTTTAATAACTTAATAATTATTGCAAAATACCAATTTTTCTTCTCTTATAAAGAAATGAGAGAATAAATCAGTACCGAAAATTGAAGACCGATCAATATTTAATTTATTCATCAAATTAACGCGGATAAATGAACGATTCGTATGAATTTTTTTTTCTTATAGAGAAAAGGAAAAGTAAATCAGTACCGAAAATCGAATATCGATTAATATCATAAATCAGTGTCAAGAAATTGTCTAAGTGCAATGACAATTTGTTCTCATTTATCAGGTCCCCCCTAATCTTACCCCTCTAATCTTATTCAACAAATTAACTCGAATAAACGAATGATTCGTATCAATTTTTCTTGTCTTATAAAGAAATGAGAGAATAAATCAGTACCGAAAATTGAAGACCGATCAATATTTAATTTATTCATCAAATTAACGCGGATAAATGAACGATTCGTATGAATTTTTTTTTCTTATAGAAAAATGAAAGAGTAAATCAGTAATCCGAAAATCGAATATCGATTTATACCATAAATCAGTGTCAAAAAATTGTCCAAGTGCAATGACAATTTGCTCTCATTTTTCAGGTACTTACCCCTCTAATCTTATTTAACAAATTAACTTGGATAAACGAACGATTCGTATCAATTTTTTTTGTCTTTTAAAGAAATGAGAAAAAATCAGTACCGAAAACCGAATATCGATCAATACCATAAATCAGTGTCAGAAAATTGTTCAAGTGCAATGACAATTTGTTCTCATTTTTCAGGCACTTACCACTCTAATTTACTCAACAAATTAACTCGGTTAAACGAACGCGTATCAATTTTTCTTTTCTTATAAAGAAATGACAGAATAAATCAGTACCGAAAACCGAAGACCGATCAATTACCTAATTTTTTCATCAAATTAACGCGGATAAATGAACGATTCGTATTAATTTTCTGTTTTCTTATAGAAAAATGAAATAGTAAATCAGTACCGAAAATCGAATATCGATTAATACTATAAATCAGTGTCAAAAAATTGCCCACGTGCAATGACAATTTGTTCTTATTTTTCAGGTACTTACCCCTCTAATCTCATTCAACAAATTAACTCGGATAAACGAACGGTTCGTATCAATTTTTTTTGTCTTATAAAAAAATGAGAAAATAAATCAGTACCGAAAACCGAATATCGATTAATACCATAAATCAGTGTCAGAAAATTGTCCAAGTGCAATGACAATTTGTTCTCATTTTTCAGGTACTTGCCACTCTAATTTACTCAACAAATTAACTCGGCTAAACGAACGATCCGTATCAATTTTTCTTTTCTTATAAAGGAATGACAGAATAAATCAATACCGAAAACCGAAGACCGATCAATACCTAATTTTTTCATCAAATTAATGCGGATAAATGAACGATTCGTATTAATTTTCTGTTTTCTTATAGAAAAATGAAAGAGTAAATCAGTACCGAAAATCGAAAATCGATTAATACTATAAATCAGTGTCAAAAAATTGCCCACGTGCAATGACAATTTGTTCTTATTTTTCAGGTACTTACCCCTCTAATCTCATTCAACAAATTAACTCGGATAAACGAACGGCTCGTATCAATTTTTTTTGTCTTATAAAAAAATGAGAAAATAAATCAGTACCGAAAACCGAATATCGATTAATACCATAAATCAGTGTCAGAAAATTGTCCAAGTGCAATGACAATTTGTTCTCATTTTTCAGGTACTTGGCACTCTAATTTACTCAACAAATTAACTCGGTTAAACGAACGATCCGTATCAATTTTTCTTTTCTTATAAAGGAATGACAGAATAAATCAGTACCGAAAACCGAAGACCGATCAATACCTAATTTTTTCATCAAATTAATGCGGATAAATGAACGATTCGTATTAATTTTCTGTTTTCTTATAGAAAAATGAAAAAATAAATCAGTACCGAAAATCGAATATCGATTAATACTATAAATCAGTGTCAAAAGATTGCCCACGTGCAATGACAATTTGTTCTTATTTTTCAGGTACTTACCCCTCTAATCTCATTCAACAAATTAACTCGGATAAACGAACGGTTCGTATCAATTTTTTTCGTCTTATAAAAAAATGAGAAAATTAATCAGTACCGAAAACCGAAGACTGATCTATACCATTAATCAATGTCAAGAAAATTGTCCAAGTGCAATGACAAGTTGTTTTCATCTTGCAGGTACTTACCCTACTAATTTACTCAACAAATTAAGTCGGATAAAAGAACGATTCGTATCAATTTTTGTTCTGTTATAAAGAAATTAAAGAATCAGTCACTACCGAAAATTGGAGACCGATCAATATTTAATTTATTCATCAAATTAACGCGGATAAATGAACGATTAATATGAATTTTTTTTTATTGAGAAATGAAAGAGTAAAT